TAACAGTTTGACACTGTGTGGGTTCATGTACTCCATTGTCCTCCGCAATACTCCCATGATCGAACTTGCTTTGTTAACCTTTTCACAGATATGTTTATCGAATGTTAGTTTATCATCTATGGTAACACCAATATCCTTCTCCGAGTCCACGAATTTTAATGGTTGGGCATTTTCCTTCAGTGTGTAGCTACATTTGTATATTTTTTGTGTATCCAACACTCACGCATCGTTTTACATTACGTTTGTCTGGATAGAAACGTATAGATGCCAAGTTTCTGACCATTGGTTTAACGAAAATATATCTTGATGCAAAATCTTAAAATCTTGTTCAACCTTTATTGCTCTAGAAGCTTTCGTGTCATCCGCGAAAAGCTAAGTGCCTGTTCCAGCGCTTGTTACATTGGGCATATCATTTACAATATATATAATATAAAGAGAAATGGTTCCAACACAGATCCTTGTGGTACACCGCTTATTACTGGATTCCATTGCGACTTTTCACCGTTCACAGCGACCCTTTGTTTCCTTCCAAGCAAAAAGTCTTCTATCTAAGAGGAAAATTGACCAGCAATACGATATTTCGCGAGTTTATGAACGAGTTGATGAGGAGATACTTTATCAAATCAAAATCGGAACCGTTGATCTGCCGTTTATGAAGCCAAACTGAGCTTTACTGAATAGCTTATTTCTCCTTTTGTGGCTCATAATTTCATCCCTAATTAATGCCTCCAGTGTCTTACAGACAACGCTATTCAGGCTTACTGGTCTATAGTTTGAAGCCTCCTTCCGTTCTCCTTTTTAGAATATTGCCGTTATGTTAGCACATTTCCAGTCCTCAGGTAATTTCCCAGTGTCGATAGATGTTTGAAATATTAATGATAACGGACGGCATCTAACATCACAAGTTAGCAGCGCTATTGATATTACTTTGTTCTAAAAACCTTTTAATTTGACATTTACTTGGGTAGTGTATAATAGTTTGTAGGAAGTACGCATACTATATACCACTCCCCGAAAGAGACAGCCCGTGCAGAATTTATTATATAATTGGTTTTTAAAAACCGATTTTTATTTTCATCATAACATGTACTGAAGTATATTATGTCAATGATGTCAATTTTTAAAGGCGTATCCTTGAAAAAACTTAGTTGATCGGTCCGACAGCACTATAACAAGTAGGTGTAAACTTGGACGGTCCATGGTGCTAATGGCTAACACTATATGCGGATATTACATTTGAAAGTGACAGTATTACCACGACCTCATCAACAAATACCGTGATTTGCTATCAATTGCACTCGGAAACGTTTCATAAACATTGAGGAACCATATAGAACTGATCAAGCCGGCAGATCACCGATGACGTATCTCTACCCTTAGATGCCTACGTCGAGACGAGTCGGTAACTATGTTACGTTAGTTAATTCAATTTCTGGGCATCTCCTGATAGCGTGACAATAGTACAGAACATGAAAAAAAAACTGTTTGTAATACAACGATTTATTCTCTTTAGCAATGATTGATTTCGCTGTAGTAATTGACGTTGTAAAATCAGTTCAAATGATCTAAATCAATCGATTGTCATCTAAATAATGTGTCGATTCTTGGGTTCTATTTCGACTTTTTGTGACAAGATACAAACGCCGTACGTATTCCCAACGTACTTTCATTTGCAATGCGAAGAATCCATCAAATGTGAATCTGTCAGATCTCCGAAATTTAGCCGACGCCACCAATTAAAACGGCCTATATTCCTGGAACGATTAACACGTTTAGGCAATTAAGACACCCTCGTGACTATCGTGGTATTAAGTGGCGCTTCCCAACCAGGATATTGGCTATTGTCATAATCCCAAAATTGATTACAAATCCTGCATGTAAATTTCCGGGGAACCAAATTGATTCTACAGTGCATCTGTGGTAGTGTGCGCTCCATACCTCTCGTTAGGTACACTGTGTAGGTTTAGGATGTACTGTACTCTATTGACATAAAAAAAATATGACGTAATTACTTGAACAGTGATTTGTCACCCTCTGTTAGACGTGCACTGCGAAAATGTCATATGAAGTCTAGCAGTGCCTCTGTACCTTTCCAAGCCGCGACAAAGAACGTAATGTGTGGTACCTACCATAGACATGGGCCAGAGCATAATGGTGTGTACCTATCATAGCCATAGGGCAAAACATACTGGTTTGTACCTACCATAGCCATGGGCCAGAACGTAATGGTGTGTACCTATCATAGCCATAGGGCAGAACATACTGGTTTGTACCTACCATAGCCATGGGCCAGAACGCAACGTTTTGTACCTACCATAGCCATGGGCCAGAACGCAATGTTTTGTACCTACCATAGTCATGGGCCAGAACGCAAGGTTCTGTACCTACCATAGCCAAGGGCCAGATCGCAATGTTTTGTACCTACCATAGCCATGGGCCAGATCGCAATGTTTTGTACCTACCATAGCCATGGGCCAGAAGGCAATGTTTTGTACCTATATCATAGCAGTGAGCCAGAAGGCAATGTTTTGTACCTATATCATAGCCATGGGCCAGATCGCAATGTTTTGTACCTACCATAGCCATGGGCCAGAACATAATGGTTTGTACCTATCATTGCCATGGGGCAGAAAGTATTGGTTTGTACCTACCATAGCCATGGGCCAGAACGTAATGTGTTGTACTTACTATAGCTATGGGCCAGAAGGTAATGTTTTGTACCTATCATAGCAGTGGGCCAGAACGCAATGTTTTGTACCTACCATAGCCATGGGCCAGAAGGCAATGTTTTGTACCTATCTCATAGCAGTGAGCCAGACGGCAATGTTTTGTACCTATATCATAGCCATGGGCCAGATCGCAATGTTTTGTACCTACCATAGCCATGGGCCAGAAGGCAATGTTTTGTACCTATATCATAGCAGTGGGCCAGAACGCAAGGTTTTGTACCTATCATAACCATTGGCAAGAAGGCAATGATTTATACCTACCATAGCCATGGGCCAGATCGCAATGTTTTGTACCTACCATAGCCATGGGCCAGAACATAATGGTTTGTACCTAGCATAGCCATGGGGCAGAAAGTATTGGTTTGTATCTACCATAGCCATTGGCCAGAACGTAATGTGTTGTACTTTCTATAGCTATGGGCCAGAAGGTAATGTTTTGTACCTATCATAGCAGTGGGCCAGAACGCAAGGTTTTGTACCTACCATAGCCATGGGCCAGATCGCAATGTTTTGTACCTACCATAGCCATGGGCCAGAACATAATGGTTTGTACCTAGCATAGCCATGGGGCAGAAAGTATTGGTTTGTACCTACCATAGCCATTGGCCAGAACGTAATGTGTTGTACTTACTATAGCTATGGGCCAGAAGGTAATGTTTTGTACCTATCATAGCAGTGGGCCAGAACGCAATGTTTTGTACCTACCATAGCCATAGGCCAGAAGGCAATGATTTATACCTACCATAGCCATGGGCCA